GTGTTCTCTCAGGCGCCCTGTTGAATCACTGCTGCTTATTTGCAAGAATCTTTCTCCACCCGACCAGGATGTCTCCATCTGATCCCTTTTCATGCCTTAGCATAGAACGGTGTAATGCACACAGTAGGTGTCCAATGCTTGCTCTCTCTCAATATTTCTCAAATGGCTCTCTCAGGCCTTTCCAGCCCCTTCTCGGACTTATAGCTTGGAGGCAATATTACAAAGGGGCTTCTTTAACTTTTCTACTCCTGAGGAAATACACTAGGAGATGCCACTGACTGACCACTCATAGGGGCTCCCAGATACAGGCAGGAACTAAGTAGAGGGACAGAATGAAGCTAGGGACCTCTCTCCAGGCTTCATAAGTTATACCTTTAAAGTGTGCTTCGTTTTATCGGAAGTGCTATGAATTCTCAAATGAGGCACACCCTAATACAAATGGAAAGGATTTTCAACTTATTCATTTTCAGGATTATTCAAGATTCTGTTCCCCTTCGTGATGGTAGAAACTCCTGAACTGACTATAATTCAAAGCAATTATTGTTCTTTAGCTGCCAAGGTGCCCTGTTACTCTTTTCATAACTATCCTGGATGATCTGAGCCCAGTTCAATGAGAAGCTTATTTTTTCCTAGCTCTGTACCTTTTCATTTGCTTAATTTCCAGCATTCACATGAAAGGAAGAAAGGAAGCCCCACTTTTGCCCCCATTGGGAACATGATATATGGGTTTTAATTGCCCTTGTAATTACACCCTTGTCCAGCTCTGCACAGGTATGGTGTAGAAATTAAACATTATAGCAAAGCCTGAGAAGGCCTCATTGAGGTAGGAAGACGACGGCTTTGCAAGATTTCCTGCCACCAGGAGAAGGAAAGAGAAAAATGAAAGGTGGTCTGGGAATGTTATAAGCTAGCCAGGCATCTCCACTGAGGAAGCATTTTCTGTCTATGACTGCCTCTAAAACTGTGTGAGCTGTAAAGCTGGGGATCCCCTGGTGGTTTGATATTCAGCTAAGGCTGGCTGAAAATGGCAGAACTTGGATTGCTTGGCTCTGAATTAAGAAATAAGCACAGCAACAAAGGGAAACATGCTATGACATTTTCTAAATATTTACTAAGGGGAGTTGACAATTCAGTGACTGGAGCCAGATCTGACAGTGAATTCTGACTGCCTCCTACGCCTTCCCTCGATCACCATCTCTATCTCCAAAACCAGGTGACCTTCACCTCTTGGGGTTGGCAGAAAAAAGCAGCATCCTTGTGGAAACCCAGCAAATGCTACATGGTGATTCGGGCCCACAGACCACTGCATTTATTCCTCCTCCCCAGATTTCTTATATGAAGTACAGTAAGCAAAGACCTGTCTATAAAAACAACTGGGTCAATACAAACTACTTTTAAGATAAAATACTTCTTTGCCCAGCAATTTCTGACTAGTAATATCCATACAGTTTCAGAACCCAATATCTATGAATGGTCCCTGCCAGTCCTCATGATAAAATCAAATGTCTCATCTGTCCACATGACAGTTATTTTCATTCCTGATCCTCCTAGGTCAATTGATAAACGTCAATCAGCAAGTCTGAGGTTTTGAAAAAATATTAGGGATAATGAAGAAATGTACTTTATGTCACTTTATGACCACCTCCTGCTGGTCATGTTTCCTATGCTTTCAAGTCTTATACAGAGAGTATAATTTTGCATTTGCTTTTAAAATCTGAAATAACACACTTCAAGAGCAATTTGGTGATTGGGTTTAGATTAAACCAGGTATCTGACAGTCCCAATAATTCCCCAGAGTCCTTTCTTTCCCCACAGCCCCAGAAATGCTACATAATTATTTTAAGTCAAGATAGTAATATACATACCTATTGGATAAAAATGTATACATCTGTATGCCTAACAAGCAATGGGAAAGTTATGGAACAGTTTACAGTTTAATGCTCACTGATGTCTTCTCACCCGCCTGTCTCCAAAACCTGTTTTTTTTTTTTTTTTAAGATTGTACTAAGATTAAAATACATCCTCTCGCAAATCTCCCTCAAAGGAAAGAAAACTTCACTGGTTTGGTTAGGCACAACTTCAGGAAATAAACCCAATATTGGTCTTGAGAGAAAGACAGGCATGACATGGGCAAGAATGATAAGAAACATGGAAGGCACGCGCCATGTCTGTACAGAGATGACCAGGTAAACTACAGTTAGGTCTCCCCTTTACGCAAACAGCCCCACAAACAGAGGCTGGACTCTGTGACCTCCAAGGTCCCTTCCCACTCCAATAGCATTTGCCTCGTGAATTTTTTATAGTCATCCTCTGTCCTAGCACACTGTCCCCATGCATCATCAAACCCTCTTGGCCACTTCCATGACTGAAAGGAAAATCTGTTAAAAAAAAAAAAATCCATGCTTTGACTACTGCCAAAATTACAGTTCTGTCCTTGAAACAATGACCTGAACATAATGGGCCAGGCTAAACACCTCTGAGCAAAGAAGTGGTCAATACCATCTTCAGGCAATATTTTTTAAAGCTTCTCTGATGCAGAGAAGGTCTTGGGAGTGAAAGACTGTGAAGCTAACAGACCATCCTATAACCAAACCTCTCAAACTTGCACTCTTCTCTTCCCTGCCCCATGACTAACCTTAAAAAGAGGGTAGGAACTTAACGGCTGAGTTTGAATCCAGGCCCCACCTCTCATCAGCTGTATGATGTGAGGCAAATTATTTAATTTCCTTGAGCCTGTTTCCGGACTTGTAAAATGCTGGTTATATGAACTACCTTGCAGGGTTACTGTGACAATAGGATTAAGAAAAGCCTCCAAAATAAAAAAGCACCCCTGAGCATTCATTTGTTCATTCTCTCATTCATTCAGCAAAGATTAACTGAGTGTCCACAACCAGCCAGGCACCAGTACATTCAAGATGGGGAAAAAATGAAAGCTACTATTACTTTTATTTACCCAAACAGTCTGTTTCCAGAACTGTGGCAGAACTGTCAGATTTTGACTTCAGCTCAAAACTTTCATGACTAAAATAGTCATTTGTAGTTTGTCAGATATGATCCCACATGGGAGCGCACCTACTGCCTTAACTTTACACACCCCAAAGGTAATCACCTAGTAGGTGTTTGGCCAGAGGGCACCTTCAGAACACTTCGAAGAAGCAACAACCAGAGGAAAAGGTGGTATCCCAGCTCTCAGCTGGACAAGGCACTCAGGAAAACTCGATATGCCTGTGCTACAAGACACTTCCCGGATGCCTGGGAGTTTTTGGGCGCTTTCAATTCCACGAGCAGACTGAGTCTTCTGAGAATTTAGGATTAACAGCTCTGGCTCATCCCCAATCTTTGTGACTGGGTCACTAATGAAGCTAAGAGCAATAGCTAAAGGGTCTAAAAGCCATGTTTTCGTAATGTATGGCTTATGGTTTTCAGCTGTGCTTTACTCTAAAGTTTGATAAAGTTCAGTATAAATGATCACCCTGTGAGGAGTCAGTTGGTTTCAAGGCTGTAGGCTCTTCTTCAATGGGAGCCCAGCATTCCTTTTCTTAACCAGCCCAAAGCCTCCAGGGAAGTACAAACCTAGCTGTACTGGGCACTGTGTACATTTTGCACTTACAATTAAAAAAAAAAAAAAAAGCTTTCAAAGACTTTTTGGAACCCAGGGCTCCTAGCAGAAGAGTAAAAGTCTGACCCTGGCATAAGAAATAACCTGCCCTGGATCATAGGGTGGTCAAAGAGGGAATTCTAGAATAAAATTCAGAGCCATCTGTGAAGCTAAGGATAGGTTAGTGGACAGCAGAGAGATGCCTAAAAATTTTGATATGCAGACTCCTCTCATTCAGGAGCCACCTGAGTCATTTTCCCTAGAAACTGAAGGATAGAACAGGACTACCTGAAGGCTGTGAATTTTGCATTGCTACCTCCTACGTGAAGGTGACAGCCTAGGCTCTTCACAGGAGTCATGGGTACAAAAATACTGTCACTATCTGCCCCCCCCCATGCACCTAAATTTTTTTTTCTAAAAAGTGGATTTCATTATCCTTCAGCCAGTTTAGCGCATTATTATCAACTTCTGGCCCCTCTAATTGCTCACTGAAAACGGGTTTGGATATTAATAGGCTATAAATCAAGGCCCCACCTGGGGCTTGTTGTCACGGAAACAGTACTCAAGCCCACAGCGACTTCCCCACCCTGGGGAAGTCTGGGCGACTTGGTGGGAGTTGGGGATGGTTTTAAAGCTCCTGTTGTTTCCTCCACTTTCTGCTATTTCTCAAGGCCAAGTTGTTGGAGAAAGAGGAACTGGCGAGGCAGGTGAGAAGTAAAATGGACCGTAGCAGCTTGGAGAACTCTTTGGAAGAGGAGGGCAGGAGGTCCTTGGAGTATGCCTCGGGCATTCTGTTCTTTCCTCCTTGAATCTGCACCTAGCCACATTCTCCGCGTCGTTCCCAGCGTCCGGGGATCAGGCCCCTTCGCTGACCTGTCCTGTCCTCCCTGCCTGGGCGCTAGGCTGCCGGGGAGCGCGCGGACAAGTTCCCCAGAAGAAAATTTGAGCGGCCCCGGGGTGAGAAGCCCGGCGGCAGGAGGCAGAGAGGGCAGCGCGACGCTCCCATTCTGCTGGAGGCAGAATCCCCTTTGCCCCACGCCGGGGTCTTGGAGGAGGTGGCCCGGGACTTGAACGTGCACCGCCTTCCCACCACCCCCACCCCCCAGAGCCCCGGGGCTACGCTCCAGGATCCGGCTCTCCAAAGCACAGCGCCCGACTCCCCAAGTGCCTCCGAAGCCCACGCGGATTCCCGCGCCCCAGGGTGTTCGCTGCCGCATCCGCCAGGGCCTCCCGGGCCCCACTCCCCGCACCCAGGGCTGAGCCCCCACCCGGCCCCCTGGGCCACCCACGTCACGCGCCCCCTGGGCCCAGCGCCTCTTCCGCGCTGGCGCCGCGCGCCCCAGCCTTGCGCATCCGCACCCGCACCCAGCCCCCGCCGGCCGCTGGGCCCTCCGGGACTCACCTGCGCTGGGGCTGTAGCGGCGGCCACCTCGAGCCCGGGGGCGGCGGCGGCGCAGGGGGAAGAGGGCAGCACGGGGCTCCTAGCACAGCGGCCGCCGGGCGCCTGGTGCTGCCGAGCCGCGGACCCGCCCAGAGATATAAATAACATTATCTGAGGAGGGACATTCCTGCCGGGGGACATCGCTGCTGCCGGGACCAGATAGTCCCGCGGCGGGGGCGGGGAGGCGGGGCCGCAGCCTCCCGCAGCGCCAGGCCCAGCCCCCGCCTTCCCCACCCACTCCCGCACCTGCCAATCAGCCTCCGCGCCAGGGGGCACCTGCCAGGCCTCCGCCCGGGCTCTAGCGGCCGGCCTCCGCCTCCTGGCTGGCCGCCTGGGCTCCGGACGCCAGAAGCTCCAGCCTCCCGCAGCGCCCCCATCATCGTTCACCTCCCCTAACCGCGCGCTACCGCGAGCCCCCTGCGGCGGGAAAAGGGTTTCACTCCGCAGCCCGGGCCTAATTTGTGCGCCCTGAGCAGCGAGCCTGGACACGAAAACGACCCCCCCCACACACCAGCCTTTCCCGCCCCGCGTCCCCACTGTGTACTCTCCGGTTTTTAAAATTTATTAAAACACACGCTTAGACTGTAGGGTGGGCGAGGCGGGCGCCGGGGCCGTGCGCCCCAGCTGCGGCGCGTTTCGGAAGGCGAGATTGTTCCCAGGGACTGGCGTGTTAGAAAGCACGCTCCGGGGCGGACTTCACTTGGCAGGCGGTGTGAACAGACGCTGGGAGGCCCCCGCCCCCAGCCCACAGGCTCAGTGTCTCTTTGTCTGTCTGCAAACCTGGTGCGGTCGGGGCAGACCCGGCACTGCTGACCGGGCGCAGCCCACAGTCCCACAGCGCTAGCATATTGCAAGGACTGTAATCAACAGGCAAACTGCCACACCAGCCCACTGGCACCTCCTGTCCTGTCCCGCTTTTCAGGAGAGCAGGGGCTTCCTCTCTGCAAGACTGGATGGGGTGGAATGCAGTAGGCCAGAGAAAACACCAGAACCAATGGTGCCAAAGACGAAAGACACGGCATCTCCGAGTCACCCGAGAGAGATTCACAGAAGAAAATGGTCAGTTTGCATTTTCTTGACTTTCTTAAGACACAAGGTTATTGTTCAATAACACTCAGTGGTACGCTTCACGGTAGGTTTCATTTCCTTTCTCCATCATTCGTTCCTGGGACAGTGTCTCATCCAGGTACCCGCCCAGGCTATCTCAGGTATTATGGATGGCAGTGGAGATTAAAAGCTCAAAGAGATAGAAAAGAGTTGCAACTTTGACTAATACTGCCTGGTATTCTTAACAACGGAACAGTCTTAGCCCTGAGTTATTTGCTTCGGAGTATAATTATGTTGTTTTCCAGGATTCACCAGGAAAAGGGTGTTTAATTGCCAGATGTGCATGCTTCATTTATATATTGAACAGATGCAAAGATAATTCACTTCCTGCTGCAGCCACGCTTCTGGAGAGTAGGCATTTAGACACTGATATGTGCTAAGTGGGGCAAACTCCACAGATATGGCAAAGTCACAGAACTCTCCACCCTAGCCCCCTGATGTCTGGACCCTTATTAACCTCAATTTCTCAAGAGACACTAGTAATATAGGAAAGATGATAGCAGAATATTCGTGGTCATCCATTAGATTAGCAATGATGTCCCCCCCCCACCGTCTGATAACATTTAAGGATCTATTTGTTTATTACTGAGTTAGAAACAGAAAGATCTTTCATTAAAAAAAATTAAGAACCAAATTCTGGCAAGGGAAACTCAAGAAAAACAGGCCAGCTTCAAAAGCAGAGAGTATGATATATCTCAAGTAGAAATCCTTGATCTGTTTTTGAAAGGAAAAAGTGGTGAGAAATTATTTATGCTTTTAAAATAAATATGCTTTTAAAAACTTATGCTTGTGTGAATAAACTTACTAAATAAATTCATGATTCCTGAGGATTGCAGCTCTGCAGCTACATAATTGTATACTACATGAAACAGATAATACCTTAGCTATAAGTCTGTGGCACCGAACTGAAAAGTTGAAGACATATTTTTTAAAATTTTATTTATTTATTTGATAGAGATCACAAGTAGGCAGAGAGGCAGTCGTGGTGGGGAGGGGGGCGGTGGGGAAGCAGGCTCCCCACTGAGCAGAGAGCCTAATGTGGGGCTCCACCCCAGAACCCTGAGATCATGACCCCAGCCGAAGGCAGAGGCTTAACTCACTGAGCCACCCAGGCGCCCCACATATTTTTTGGTAGCCTTGGGATTTATAATTTTCAACAAGAAAAATTAATATGATAACAGTACCAAATCAGTGGGCAGATTACCCTAGGATTTTACAAACCAGCTCAGCTGCTTTAGTTATCTCCACTTTAGCTGAAAGCTAAATAATTCAATACAACCTCATTTGCTACAGAGCCTGTTATCCTGACAGCATCCTCAAATGCTTTACAGCTAATAGAGTTACAGTGAAATGATAAATCAGAACCGAGGGAGATGGGAAATTTCAAAGTACAGAGGGAAAGGGCATTGTCAAAGGAGGAGGAGGAAAAAATAGAAAACTCCAGGAAGTGGGGATGAGAAATTGGGGAGATATAAGAAGGAAAAGCTGAATATATGGGTTCATAATCAAGGTCATTGTTGGGCAATGGGGGCAACAGGGATTAATTCTGCAGGGATTTTTCTGAGGATAGTATGTAATGCCTCCTGAATTGTCTAAAGTGTGGGAAATTGGCTTTCATTCTCTTTGGTCCAGGGGCTGCACCTCCTTTACCCCCATCCATGTTGACACTTCACACTTCAAGCTACCCAGCAGGCTCCCAGTAGGTAATCAGCAGTGCTGGGGCCAGAAGGAAAGGTGTGCATTTGAGACTAGATCTTGTCAGCCAGTAAACCAGAAAGTGAGAGGAAGCACTCACAGAATGGCCTACCCAGCTCCAGCTAGAATCAATAGATGAGGCCAAGAGGATATAAATTAGGACAACGGAGGAATCTGACACAGAGGGAATTTTCACTTTCTATCTCTATATTCTCTGAATTTTTCACATTGAGCTTGTATTATTTGATAATCAGTAGAAATAATAGAGACAATAATAGGTAGAGATTAGATCCAGATGGGTCCAGCACATGCATTTAACTTTTCTTCCATTCCAAATCTCATAAAAGGATTTAGAATAAGAATTTAACGGCACAGGGAAATAAGACAAAGGCTGATCAACTCCCCAAGCATTTTTAGGAAATCTCGAAATATAGAAAAGAGACAGGATCTGATCTAGAGAGAAATAAGATGAGAGAAAGTCAAAACAGGTTCAGGAGATGGAATAGCTTAGGGAAGTTCCAAGCATGAGTCAAAGGATACAAGAGAAGGAGAGGGCCCCAGGACAGAAGAATTCATTGAGGATTATTCCTCCCTGCTGGCATTAAGTATCAGATGTTTGCCTGTGGGATAAAGAAGTGAGGAGAGATCTTGGAACCAGAGGAAATGACAGGGAACATTTTCTCTCTCCTGATAGCATGTGTGCCTTTCCTTCCCAGAGAGACTGCGGTAAACACAATGGGCAGGCTAATGAACTATCAAAAGTTCATCAAACAACTCAAATCACCAACGATTTTGTCAGGGCAGGGGAACAACTACATGAAAGAGATTTTCTAGACTAGAAAGAAGCGATAGCAGAGGAAACTAAGTTAGGAAAAGGAAACAGAGACAAATTTAAAATGAATTTAAACTTTATTCAGCAAGATTTGAAAGGATATTGCCATCCATGACAAGCAATAAGAAAACAGGAAAATCTAAAAAGTTGTTTCTGAAATTGAAAATGTATTAGCTGATAAGCAGAAGGACCAAGTTGAAAGGTAGATTAGTGGGAACAGAAATTCTCCCCAAAGACAGAGCCAAAAACAAGATGGAAAGTTTGTCAGAATGGCTGAAAGCCATGGAAGCAAGATCCTCAAGGTCCAATATCCATCTGATAGAAGTTACACAAGGAAAGAGAAGAAAGAGTAGAGGAGATAATAATGAGAAAGGAGAATAAGATTTCTCAGGATTGAAGAAAATATGAATTTTCAGATTATAAAATCCAGAATTTAGAAGAGGATGAAGATTTTAAATATAGTTTATAGTTTTATGACAGTTTAAAGTTTATGATTTTATTTATAAAATCCTATAAGTTGAATAAAATTAAATAAAAAACCAAAAACTATAATAAACTATCTTACTGTGCCTTGAATTAAAACTATTTTTACTGAGGGGCATCTGGGTGGCTCAGTGGGTTAAGCAGCTGCCTTCGGCTCAGGTCATAATCCCAGGACCCTGGGACTGAGCCCCACATCAGGCTCCCTGCTCAGCCAGGAGCCTGCATCTCCCTCTCCCTCTGCTTGTTGCACCCCTTGCTTGGTTGCTCTCTCTCTCCCCCGTCAAATAAAAAAATAAAAGCCTTTTTTAAAAAAAGGCTATTTTTTAAAAGATTTTATTTATTTGACAGAGACAGAGATCACAAGTAGACAAAGAAGCAGGCAGAGAGAGAGGGGTGAAGCAGGCTCCCTGCTGAGCAGAGAGCCCGATGCGGGGCTCGATCCCAGGACCCTGAGATCATGACCCGAGTAGAAGGCAGAGGCTTAACCCACTGAGCCACCCATGCGCCCCCCAAAAAGACTATTTTTACTGAATCACAGAACTAAAGTTATTTGTTCGAAATTTAAAACTACTTGACTTAGAAATAAACATATATATCAGAAAGCTACTTACCAAACGAAAAGCCAAACCAAATAAATCTGAGCCTACCTGATACTCCCACTCATTCAAAACCCTGCTAGCAACGGAGGGATCCAGAGGGCATGCATGTAATGTATAAAAAACTTCAAAATAGAACCTAGAGCTCAAAAAACATTAGTTCCCCTTTTTGCCCTTCCACCAAGAGATGTATTTCATGAAATTAAGCTAAAATTTCCATCCCATTTCTGGAAACATCTAGGGGAGCCATGCCCTCTACAACTCCCAAAGACAAAGCAGCAGCTGGACCAGCTGGAAAAGCCCTCCATTTACAATATAGAGGTTGTAGGATCAAACTTCTCCTTCAGATGCCTCAAACAAAATGGTCACTGTAAGGAATTTGAGAGCCCGCAGCAGGTGTGCAAATACCAAACTGACCAGAGCAGCTGACACCAATTTCAAATTTCCCTCCACCAATAAATGGGGAGGAGC